TATCCCTTCAGCAAAACTGAACTATTCTGTTCCCAAATAAGAGATATATTTTCTCCTAGAAAAGAACAGTTGTTCTTTGATAGAGAAATCTTCAATACTGCCCTACAGTATTAATAACTTTCTCTGCTCTCTCATGCAATTTTGTTTGGTATTTAGTTTTTCTTCTTTCTCTCAGACTTGACTAAGATTCTTACAATAAGAACTTTTCTTTATTTACCCTGGATTCTAACAATATGAAATGGTCAAACACATAATATTTAGAATAAAGTGAAATCATTGTAAGATAAACATTTGTCATTAGAAGTAATTAAATAACAGGAATGGTGTATCCTGGATATGTCCATGGTTTATTGTAAGACCCACAATGTTCTTTAATAAAAAAGCAATAATGAAGAATTGGTTGAGATTTTGCTATTGTCAGTTGGTCTAGTTGGCTGGATGGTTAGCTTTTCTGTTGCTAATAGGTTGGTTGCTTTGGTTTATATGTAAGGACACAGAGAGACAGCATGATTAAATGTCTTTAATGTCATTAAACAGCTCATTAAGTAAAACAGTCAGAACCTGAATCAATATCTTGATTCCTGCTAAGCCACAATGCTTTTACTTATTTATTTATTTTACATAGTGTAATTCATTCCCAATAAGTCACACTATTATTTCCACTCTCTGCAAATTTCTTAAAAATAATGATTAAAAAATCAGGGCATCTTACCTCTGTTAGCATAAGAAAGCCCTAAGGTCAGGCAACGTGGTCCAAAAGAAAGCTTGGCTTTTGGAGGAAAGATGGCCTTTGAAACCCTATCAGCAGTACTGCTAACTGAGGCCAACCCCACCCTCCCCTCTCACCTTTTCCTCCCTACTCGCCCCCCACCCTGGCTCTATATATCCTAATCTATAAGAGGGTTGTAAGAATCTCTACACCCCATCTGTGAAGCTAATGATAATGTGTGAAAAATCTAGCCCTGCACCTGGCACACAGTCAACAGTTTGTTGACTCTGAAAGAAAAAGCTGTATTTAAAGATGTGTGTGTGTGTGTGTGTGTGTGTGCGCACGCGCATGCATTTGGGGAAGAAAATTCATGGTTATCATTTTTCATATGGTCTGCAGCAAATAATTGTGAGATGGCAGTATTTTTCAAATTCATCAGATTATACATGGTACCATTCTAACTACCTTCCCAACTTGTATTCACAATTTCCAAATACTTGTTTTTATTCTAAAGGTGACTTTAACAGTTAGACTTTCTAACCTGCTGCCAAAGAAACACACCAAAAGAGAAGTGTGTGGCAAATCAGTTTGCTTTTAGAATTCTTGCAAAGGAGAACTTCTTTGCATATAGTATTGGAAATATTTAATTGTATGATAAGCAAAAATGGGAATATTGAGCCTTGGGCTTACATTACATTGATTTTTTCTTCCTTGTGGGTGGAAAACATCTCAAATGAGGGGGAAGGGGGAGTAAAAATAATTCCCATGAATTAATGAAAAACATAGCAATCTATTACAGGGTGGTCCTTTAACAATTAGCAAAACTCATGACCCCTGGGATCTTAATATATTTTTCTAAGTTATTTATATGCTAGTAGAGTCCAAGGGGAATGTATTCAGTAAAAATAATATCTATCTTAGGAACCGAGAAAATAGTTGCAGTCACAGTTTTGTTACGTATTAGTTGTATGACTTTGGATAGTTCTCTCAGCCACTTTGATTCTAATTTTCTGACCCCTAAAAGGGAGTTAAAATACCTTGACTGCTGTGTTTTGGGTGTGAGAACTAAATGACAAAGAATATGTAAAATTCAAATGAAACTGTATTTCAGCAAAGGGAGCTTTATTATCACCTCTATAACTGTTACATTATATTATCACTATTAAAATCATTTCAAGCTTTAATTCCTTAGAACAGAGTAAATACTGATCTTTGATTATTTGCTTTTATTACCATCAGAAATGAAACGTTGACCCCCACACTCCCCAGTGAAGCTGGAAATCACAGTACTGGTATAGAAAGACTATGTTTTCTAGTCAGAATCGTGTACCTTAAAGTCCAGTTGACTGTATTTGAAGTGCACCACACAGAAATAAAGTTGTTGTGTGGTTGTGATTTCTTTTTAAAATTTGGTACTTTCCTTTAGAGAAGGGTCCACATGAAGGGGTCCAGAGGAACAAGATAAAACAAATATCACAAGCATGGACAGAGCTTTAGGGCTTTCAAGATATCTCTCTTTGTTTACATCAATCCTGTGGTTCCGTTAACATGGGTACCTGAAGCACAGGAAGGACCTTACGAAAGACTAACCAGTCTACTGTCATCTACACTGTTGTAAAAGGCATGATGCACCAGAGGTTGGTTCATCGCATCCCTTTGTCCCTCTCATAGCTCAGAGCCGGTTCCCCTTTTATTTTTGTCAATAACACTTACTTTTTGTTCCTCTCCTTCCAACTAGGAAGTGCATCACTGACACAGACACAATATACCTTTTCATAAGGAAGGCAAATGAATATGGGCCAGATGGGCCGAGGGCATTACAACATGTTTCCTGCTCCCATGGTGACTCAATGGGGCTGGTATGAGAACGTGTTTTATTCAAGAAGTCAGCTTCCCTGGCAGAATTATGAGTCAGTTCCTGGGTAAAAAGCTCACTCTCCAACATCTGAGGGGGTGGTGTGGGGGTGCTCTTCGGATGGATTACAGTAAAGGTCATTCAGAAAAGCAACTCTGCCAGGACCAGTGGGGAGGCACCAGCACTAATGAGCCACTAACTCCTGAGAATTCATTGATCTCTAACAAGGTTAACGAGGTCGTTTTTCCATTTCCCTTCCAGGTGAGGACATAAAACCACATTGACGAATTGCTAGTATGAATACAAACAAGTTCTATTATAAACTTTATAATTGACCAATTAAATTGTTGACCAACTTGGGCCAAAAAAACAATGTGAAGGGACAGCTTTTCATTCATTTTATATATATATATATATACACATATATATATATATATATATACACACCTATGCCCATCATATATCTATCTGTATATATGTAAACACTGAGCTCCTACTATGTGTCTGTGCCAAGCTTTACTCCAAGTGTACGGGTTAACTGACAAAATGTACAAGTCCCTGTCCTTGGGGAATTTAAAAGCAGAGAAATAGGAAGGAACAGAGGAAGAGAGAGAGAGAGAGAGAGAGAAAGGAGAAGAAAACAGGGATTGGAAAGGACAAAGAAAATGAAAAAAGAGGAGGAGGAGAATGATTGATACAGTGACAAAAAACAAGTGTTAAGAAGAAAACTAAAGAAGGATAGAAGACTGGAGTGATTGACCTGGCTATTTTAGTTAAGATGGTTAAGGATGGCTTCTGTAAGAAGATACCATTCAAGGATAGAGCTAAATCAAATAAGAAACTACAATCAGGGGTTATACTCAGCATATTTAAAATCAGGGCATCAGGGAACTGGCCAGTCAAATGGGACACTCAATTAAGCACGGTAAGATGCTGGTTTAAACAGGCAGTAGAGCTCTATACTAGAGCATCCCAGTTGAATATCAGTCCTGCTTATAATACATCCTTTCCTCTGTAAAGCCTCTAAGGGCCAACGAGGTTAGAAGTTATCTCTCCTTCTCTTGGCTTTGAGCTGTACTCTGTCCAAGTTATACCGCTTCTTTAGTGCTATTTTTGGTTTCCAATAAAATGTCTTAAGTGGTGTAGCAAAACCAAAACACACAAAGGAAAAGTAATCAAGATGGTAGGAAGACTTAAATCCATGCCACATGAAGAACAGTTGAAGGTATATACTGGAGAACATGGCCATGGTTTGGTGACCCCTGTCGAACATCTCTGATGGCCTCTTACATAGAAGAAGAATTAAATCAATGAGATTCAAAGTATGATCCATGATCTTCAGGGAAATTATACATGGGAAGGTTTTTTGTTTTTTTTTTTTAAATGAAGATAACTCCGTTCCTTGAATTAAAATTAGAGACTCATAGAATGAGGTATTTTCCATTTAAATCAAGCAGTTGAACCAAAAACATGTATGGATGTGACAAAAGACAAATTTCAGTTACATGTACTAAAATTTTTCTAATAATGTGATCAGTCCAAAGACATCATGGCCAAAATGAGATGATCACTAGTTAGAGGTACCATTAAATAGTTCTGAGAAGTACTTCTACAGATGAGATGAGACCCACGAAGAGAGACTTTCAAGTCCCCTGTAACCCTGATGTCATATGATCCATGTCCAAGATAGCTAACTTTGGTTATTTAAACTCAATAAATACTTTGGCTGCATCTTCTTATGCTTGTGAAGCAACATCCAAAGAAAGAATGAGCCTAACGATAGGGTCTTTCTTTCCTCTGTGTGTGCTCTCCATGCACTTAGCTGCTCAGCCATGTCCAACTCTCTGTGACCCTTTGGACTGTAGGCCTCCAGGCTACTCTGTCCATGGGATTTTTCAGGCAAGAATATTGAAGTGGATTGTCATTTCCTTCTCCAGAGGATCTTCCCAACTGAAGGACTGAACCTGTGTCTCTTGCATCCCCTGCATTGCAGAAGTCATCAGAGCAAAACTATCTTTATTTATTTGTTTTTATAAGGTATCAATGGGCTGTTACCACCAAGGCTTTCTCTGCTACTGGCTCAAGTTTGGAACTCAGAAGTCATCCACTATCACTGTCATTTCTTTTCCCATAGGACCTGAGGTAAGGGGAAGAAATATGATTCTAGTTGCCTTAGACGTGAAGGTGAAGAAAAATTCCTATAAGTAAACACATGCAACCAGGCCTCTCAGTGTACTTTGCCCCATAAAGACTAAAGATTTCAGTAGTTCTTGCCACCATCATAATTATATGATTCTGTAAAATATAAGATTTTATATTACCACAGAAGTCAATGGAAGTAAGCAACATTATGTTCTCTTAACCCATTTTCAGACATACAACATTACTCTACATGTTCTCTGCATCTTAATAGATTGTTACAAGACATTCACTCACCTGAGGCATCGCTTTGCAGGATCCCATAGAAGTACAGACTCATTACACACCACAGAAGTCCCATCCTGTCAATACAAACATAAAGGTAAGGAGAGAACTTATTACCCTCAAGTGCTTAAATAATACTAGTGCATATGTAGCCCGACTATTGACTAGGAACTGCTTTAAGACTTTTACAATATTAACACAAAAATACAATTATATTTATAATAACACATTTTTTATATTTATTAAAAATATAACATAACCATAAAATTATAACAATTTTACAATGTTAATATTGTCAGAACCAACCAGGAAAATAGGCTTTTTTTATGTCACCATATTACAGATAAGAAAACTGAGACAAGTGTAAATAACATTAAAGATCCTTTGGCTAGAAAAGGGTAACTGGTGCATCTAACTTGTGCATGTTCAGTCACATCCAACTCTTTGCAACCCCATGGACTGTAGTCTGCCAGGCTCCTCTGTCCATGGAATTTTCCAGGCAAGAATAATGGAGTGGGTTGCCATTCCCTTCTCCAGGGGATCTTCCTGAAGTCCCAGCAAACAAACCCTCATCTCTTGAGTCTCCTGCCTTAGCAGGCAGATTCTTTACCATTTGCAGCACCTGAGAAGTCCCAGAAAGTGGTAGGGTAATGACTAAATTACAACAGCCTGGCTCTAGAATGGTCTCTTAATCACTGAACTCTGCCTACTTAAAAATATTTTTTTAGATTTTTTTTTTCACCAGAGTTGAACTTCTGGCAGATAAGTTTGTTCTTCTTACCCTTCATCATATTGTCTTGGTTTATTTCCACCTGGAAATGTTTTATTATCTAGACACTTTTTCTTCTTAGTGAGGAACAGAAAGTCTAGAAATCCTAGATTCAGGCTTGGTTTGCAGTCCACCATACTCTGAATTTATAGTAAAGGGAAATGTATAACCCTCATGTCTTACTGTGCCTGATCTACTCTTCCTATTCAAGAGACAAATGACGAAGCTGGATTCCAGTTTCTGTGATCTTTAGCCCTTCTGTTGGTAACCAGCTGAAACAGTTCACTAGCAAGAATGATGCCCTTTTATTTGGTTGTGTGATCTTTAATGCAGAAGGGCTGGAGGTATAACAACTCTGTTAACTATTTCTTTCCCCACTACTCTAGACATATCTGGCCCCTGATAAAACCTCTGTGGGGTTATAAATACTGAAACCTGAATATTACTGAGAAATTCCATATCAAGGACCTCCACTCTCTGTTTTGAACATAACAGCCATATGGGGGGTAATTACAGAGGTCTTGGTAACTTGTCCAGATCATATTTCTAGTAGGTGGCAGAGATGAGATTTATATCCACACCTGACAAACTACGTCTATTATCCCAAATATTAGCCTATGCCACAAGTTTCACAGTAACACAGTAGTCTAAAAATCATAGAAGTGTTTAATAAATAGAATGACCTACTAACAGCATTTGAAATGGGACATTTATAAGAGTGCTACGCTGAAACAAAAGGTATAAACCAGCATTGTTCAAGCCATCCAGAATGTGTGTTCATTTTAAAGGAGGATGCAAGTTTCATACACTTGTCACCTCTATTGGCCACACATCACCAAAAATCTCTAATGTGCTTCTTTCTTAGCATGACTGTACATCAGAGTCCCTCGGAAAGCAAGGAGATCAAACCAGTCAATCTTAAAGGAAATCAACCCTGAATACTCGTTGGAAGGACTGATGCTGAAGCTGAAGCTTCAATACTTTGGCCACCCGACACGAAGAGTCAACTCACTGGAAAAGGTCCTGATGCTGGGAAAGATTGATGGCAGGAGGAAAAGGGTACAAGAGAGGATGAGATGGTTGGATGGCATCACTGATTCATTGGACATGAACTTGGGCAAACTACAGGAGATGGCGAGGGACAGGGAAGCTTGGCATGCTGGACTTGCATGAAGTCCATGGGGTTGCAAAGAGTTAGACATGACTTGGCAACTGAACAACAGCAACACAAATCATAGGAAAGTTTATTATATCTTAAACAACATTTTATCTCAGAAATTAAATGTCTGTTTCTTAACACCACCATTCCCTTCTAATCCTTATACCATTACCTTAGGGAGTTTTCTTTTCAGCATTCTTTAATTCAATAAAACATGCATTGAACACTTTCTATTTACAAGTCACTAGCCTATAATTGCAGAGACCTCTCTCAAGCAAGATGTAGGGCCCTCTCTAAAGGCACTTATCCCCAGTAGAGGAAATAAACCACATGCAAACCACTTCAGCATCATCAACTTTGAACAATAGACATGCAGAGGCACTACAAGATATTCAAAGATTTATCAGACGGAAGTTTGAGCACTAAGCAGAGTCTAACAGAAACTTAAAGTGTGTTCAAGAAATAGCTGCAATACAAAGTAAAGTGATAAAAATAGAGAGGCGCTGATAAGTGTTATTGAAGATTAGCAAAAGAAAGAGATTACTCCAGCTAAGGCAGTCAAAGAAGACTAAATAGAAGAGGTAGCTTTAAACTGAAAGAAGTGGTTTGGAAATTTAGAATTGAGGCAGAAGGAAAGTGTGCGGGAAAGAAACTCAGTGGAGAATAATGCTCAGAGAAAAGCATGGAACATAAATAGGAAATCATCTATAAATAATTCAGTTTGACTCAAGCACAGGGTATTAGGGAAAGAACTATATTTTGGTAGAAAGCATGGGGTTTTAGGATCAGAATATTGCACGATCTTGAACAGTAGGCTAAGAACTTGGGATTTAATTTAAACAGCAAAGAGGGAATCACTGACATTTTCTGATCAGAGGAATGATTTGGTGACCAATTTATGCTGTATGGAGGTCATTCCTCCAGGCATATATTGGATGGATTGCCACTAAATTCTGTCTTGAAATCAATTTGATTCCTGAGTCGATCATCATAATAACTGTTATGCTCCTGGTTTTGTGTCATCCATAAACTTGATGAACATTCCACCTATGTCCTCATCCAAGACATTAACAAAAGTAATTAATAATTCTGTATAGTTCTTGTCAACAGAGAGCAAGTAGACACTTAATTGCTGATATAAGGCAAAGTCATCTCAGTTCCAACACTCAGCTATGATAAAGGATTCTAAACTCCCAAATTGTTTTTGGCTATTAAAAAAAAAAAAAAAAGCCTCACACCTCTATACTTTCACAATTTGTCTGTTTATAAGCTGCTGAGTTCCTATGGCCACACTTTGAAGACATTCTAATTAGTGTGTGATTGAGAGTCTAAATTGATAATTCCAGGAGTAACTGGATTATGCTGGAGGCAACAAGGAGTCAGGTTACCAAGGTAAACTTAATCTAATGTGTGCAAATACAAATCCAGGGTCAGTCCTGCCCTATGATGAATCAGAATAAATCAGACTGAAAAGAAAATATGATTGTGCAGGCTGGTTTTAAAAGACTAAAGGTACCAATGATCTGAAACGTTTCTGAGAAGATTGATTCATTTAACATAGACTTGCATTCAGCCTCAGAAGTTTACTATTGTTACAAGTAATACCATTTATTTTTTCTTTTCATTCTTTTCTTTTTTTTTTCTGCATTCTGAAGCATGTAGAACTTTTCAGATCAGGGATCAAACCTGCCACACCCCCTGCAGTGGAAGCTCGGAATCTTAACTACTGGACCACCAGGGAAGTCCAGTAATATGCTTTTGATTCTCATGTCTTGTGGAGAGTGGGACTGAGTTTTTTTCGACCTGGAGAAACAATCAGAAAAGAAAAGGAATCTATCTAAAAATGAAGGGTTTCTCATGGTCTGAAGTACAACCTAGCTTTACATTATTGTGATGGGGTTTAATAGCTTCTGCCTTTGCTTCAGATGACTAGAACCTACATACAATAAATTCCTAGTCATCCTTCCCTGCATTTTGTTTACTATATGATCATTCCACACTTCCTCTCTTAGATATTAGTACTTATCTCATATTCAATGCCCTTGTTTCCTAGTATAATGTCTACATCACCTAGCAAGAAGTTTCAAGTATGTACCTAGTTTTATGTTATATACTCACTTTAACATCCATCCATGCAAATTAATCTTTCCAGTGTCTGCCTTCTCTAGGGACATTAAGCTTCAAAATTTCCTTACCTCTGAGTTTGCCCTGATCACTGGATTTTCTCACTGGCCAGGAGATAGACTGAAACTAGGCTATCTATACCTAGATAATAATTCAGATTATCTCTGAATCTTCATTTTCTCAGTCTTCCTTCTATATAACAGTATTTTACAAGACCACAGACTAGATTCATCCATCAGTTTCCTTAATTCCACATACAGCTCCATAATCAGACCATAGTCACTCTCTGAATCTCAGCAACCTGGTTGGGGCATGGTCCTTCAACTTGGTTCTTATTAGCATTCTGTTCTAGGAGCCTGCAATTTTTTCCCCTGTAATATCTTACTCTAAGTTGGATAAACTTCATCTAACCATGAAGCTTTATCTGCTTCATTTGTGGTTGATAGATACTCTGTGCTTTGACCTGACCGCTGAATACTTGGACGTTAACACCAAGTCACAGAACCTAGATGGTCATCCACATGCAGGATCATCCCTGCAGCCCAATTATTTCCTTGAGCCTGAATTCCATCTAGATCTTTCTTTTCCTTTTTCTAATATACTGATAACGTTTGAGCAGGTCTTGCTTCAAAACCTTTCAGCAAAGTAACATAATAGGCTCTGAATCTGGAGATAAAGAAGTTAGCATATTCCACTTTGTCTTTCTTAATGAATGTAGCTATAAACCTGGGGAGAGTACATGGAGCAACTTTCTGAAGACTCTAAATTGGAAGCAATAGCACATTCTTTTCAAGTATGCATAAGCATTCACCACAATATCATGTACCATAAATCAAATTAAACAAATTTAAAGGAATTCAAATTATACTCTCCAACCATAGGATTAAACTATAAATATAAAAAAATAAATAACATGAAAAATCTCCAAAGATTTAAGAATTAAAATATATTCTTCTAAGTAATACATGGGACAAAGAGAAAGTCTTGAGGGAAATTAGAAAATATTTTGAACTGATCAAAAGTGA